CTCTCTCTCTCTTACATCCACTAACGGTCCCAAACCTCTATCAATTAGATCTCTTCCTCCCTCCTCAACATCACTTGCTGCCATCTCCATCATCATTGCCGGCTGCCGGTATACATTCCTCTACCAAGAAAATTAGACGGTGGAGGTGGAAATGACGAGATCCATGAGATGATGTCCTCTCTTTCTTCCATTTCCGATTTGGCTCTCTATTTTCTCTTTCATCTTTGTCTTTTCTGATCTGGTATCTGAGGATGAATCTATCAGTGATGCTATTCATGAAATTGTAGGAAGCGTCTAAGTAGGGATTTATTGATTCAGTCAATTGTACTGCAATTAATTTCTTTTTTGTTTTTCTCTATCTCTCTTTTTTTTTAATATATATATATATATATATATCTTTTGTGAATGGGATCAAAGGGTTACATATAAGGCTCTCTACAAATAGATTCACAACCAACCAACCACTTTGACTGGAGAGTTTGGCTTGGTGAGAGGATTCTTCTACTACCATATCTTTATTTATTTATTTATATTTTTTTTCTTGTTATGTGTAGGCTCTATCAAGCACGATTGATTTACTGTTGGTCATAAATGTGAAATTATTTTGATTATTATTGCTGTTGTTGTTATTGTGGTAGATCTAGATTCGTGGAGATCTCACTCTCCCCTATGTTCCTGTTATTTTGTTTTTGGCCTGGGGAATTTTCGCGGTCGGGGGAAACTCGATCCCCGTTAAGGGATAAGGGCGGGAACGGTAATAGGTTTTTCGCCGGGGATCAGGGCCGAGGACGGGAAAATATTCACCATCGAGGATCAGAGACGAGGGAGTGTAATCCTCGGTCTCGCCCCGTTTCCATCCCTAAGTGTAGTGTGTTAAATTATAATGGTAAAAATAATGAGTGCACTGTGTTAGATTATAATGGTGAAGATGAATAGTATTGGATGAGTGTTGAAAAAGAGATTTGTTTCAAAAGATATAGTATATAGGTGATGGTATGTAAAGAGAAATTTGTGTTTTCACGAATTACTTGAATGAGTACATATACACCTATATTGTCCTTAATAGTCATTTTACTTGAAGATATTATTATCATATAAATTTAATGGTTAAATGATGTATACTGAGAGGATTCATAGTGTGTAAATAAAATCTCTCCAAACTTTGTTACTAATAACTAATTGACATATTAAGTGACAATTGAACTTCTTTTGGCATTTAACTTTGACTTGCAAGAGAAAATAAATAGAGCAGTATTGTGAAATGCTGATTATGTGAGACATCTTTTAAATCTTTATTGGGATTTTTTTGTTTAAGATTCCTAATATTAAGATTTTATAAATCAATGACATGTAATATTTTCATAATAGTTGGAGTCTCTCAATATTTTTGTAGATAAATTTCAGTTCTTGAAATAGAAATTTTAGCTCTATATATGACGTGTTGAAATTTCTTTAATAGTATTATTGAGAGATTTTATCCAATAAAAAAAAAATATTGGACTTCTCACACTATTTCTCTAATAATATTATTGAGGGATTTTAACTAATAAAAAAAAAACGTATTGGACCTCTCACACTATCCAAAATTAGAGAGATGTTTCACTATTTTTTCTATCTTTATTATTATTATTATTATTATTATTATTATTCAAATAAGAAAATCAATGAGGAGAATTCATATGGGGAAGTTACAGATCTGAAATTTTAAGTGGTATATTAATGGTTTTTTTTTTTTGTATAAATAGAATAATAGATTAATGGTTGAGGGTTTCGCATTCAACTGCAAAATTAATATATTATTTTTATTTTTAGTGATTTTTTTATAAAAAAAATTGTGTCAAAATATTTTCACTTTTCAAGTTTATCTAGTGTAGAAGGATTTAAAATGTTCAAAAATTTTCATAAAAGACATAAAAAAAAAAAGTACGAAGAACCAATTTTTTTTTTTGGTTATCTTTTGTGGACTTTTTTTCCTCTAATTTTTTTTTTTTTTTTTGAGAAACTAACAAATCCCATAAGTTTTAAAAATAAATTGGGTAAATTACAAATACATCCTTCAAAATTTGCTTAAAATACGATTTGTCACTGTAGTTTTGGAAATTACGTCTAATCCCTTGAAGTTTTTAATTTTATAACAAATGAATTCTTTTATTAATAAATCATTAAGTCCATTAATAGTTTTTGATGACGTCAGAAATTTATTTCAATTAATAATTCAGGTAATTTTATCATTGTAGAAAAGAATAGTTAGGAATTTTATTTTTTTAGTTAATTCTATTAAATAAATTTTTTTGATAAAGGGGTATTTATAATATTTCAAACCAAATTACAATTTGTATTTTAAACAAATATTAGGGGTGTGTATTTGTAATTTATTCAAATAAATTATAAAAGAAATGCTAACAAGTACATCATAGGCATTGTTTAATGTTGAGAAGTATGTAAAATTTGTCTTCAAAATATGTAAAAATGTTAAAAAAATATGTTGATTTTAATAAAAGTTTACTGAATTTAATAAAATGTGTCTTGTGTTTTTTAACTTTTTTTTTTTTTTTTTTTTACTCCTTAGAGTAAATAAGTTACTGTGTAGTATAATTTTTTATGATGTGTATTGAAAAATGCATTTGTAATTATACAGATAAGGAAAAAAATATTTGTAATTATCCAGTTACAGTGTGGTGAGACCTTTTATAAATTTTTATTGTAGTTTTTTTACTTATTTTTTTCACATTTTAAAATGCAAATTATTAATTAAATTTCTATATTGAAGTTTTGCTAAAATTTTATTCATAAGTAGTATAATTTATATTTTTTTATAATTTACTCTTTTTATTTTATATTTTTTATGGTATACATTAGTTGTTAGTAGGAAAAGTGGGCAATACAGTCCATAAGAATTAACTATTGTCAATGCAAAATTACTATATAGAATCAAACTTAGTGCTTCAAACTTTAATTTAAGTTTTAATGTGATCTTTATATATATATATATATATATATTGTTTATTATAATTTAATCCCTCATAGTTGTATATTGGTGTCAAATGTAATCTAAGTCCATTTCCATATTATAAACAAATCTAGTCCAACAACATGTCAAAAAAAAAAAAAAAGAAAGAAAGATCATCATGTTATATCATATATTTCTTAAATTAGTTAATTTTAGAATTAAAACTAAGGAAAATGATAATTTAACTAAATTTGTTAGTGGTTTTACCCTCTATCTTTCCCAACGCATTTATACTTTTTATTTTTTTTATTTTATTACTTTAAATCCTAAAATTAGCTTAAATACAAAGCAGCACAATGTCATGTCTAATTTGGGTTCCTGTGTCACCGACGACCAACCTTTCGAAAGCATGTGAATATTACTCATGAATATTCCAATGCAACTTCAATCACCACTGGTTAGAGTTGGTTTTTTTTTTTTTTTCTTTAAAAAAAAAAAAAAATCATGTGTGCAAAGAGAATGAGTTTTTACCATCATAGCACACCTCTCAGACCCACCACCTCTCTCCATCAAAAAACGTCCCTATCACCACCATATACCTATATTACCTGCCGCTACACATCACCAAACAGTTCTTTTTCACCATTCACCATTTCACACCACCGTTACCACCATGCACGTCATACCTCCACCACTTTTCCACCACCACCACTCACCCCACCATCACTAATTTCTTGTCACATCTATCTAACCCATTTCCTTATCTGAAACTCTTTTTTACTATCGTGAGAAATATCTCTATTTTACCTACTTCATCTCTACAATCTCACAAATCTATCATTGTAAATCAATCGAATCAACCACATAAAATAACAAAAATATTCACGAAAGAAAGAAAGAAAATGAAAGATGAAGGAAAAGAAGCGTCGGAGTGAGTAGAAGAGATAATAACAATTATTGCCCTATCTTAAAATCATTAAGTCATGACCGCCTTCTCTATATCTAATCTAGCATCATGCTCCTCATTCACTCGGTTGCAATTTTCTCCTCTCCCATTTCCTTAGTGTTGAGTTGGTTGATGTTACCAGAGTTAAATTGAGGAAATTGATAATTTCATTCTTAAAACACATTTTTTAATTAAAAAAATCTTGAAAAATATTATTAATTAGATTAAATTAAGAAAAAAAATCATAAAATTAAAATTACATGCACTAAAACAAAATAAGGGCCAAGTTATCAACAAAAAAGGGGGCCAAAGTATACATAATTTGCCCTAATTTGTATTTTCCACAAAATTTACTAGTGTTTTATTTAAGAATATTGATTTTTAATCAAAACGTTATAATAAATTATCAAATTATTATATTTATTTTTCTATCATATCATTTTGTAAAAAATTAAAAACGTCACTTAAAAAATCAATTTCTTAATGAGTGCTAAGCCCATGTTTGGGAAGAGAAATCTATAATTAAAAATTCAAAAAATTATTATAAATTATCATATCATTTTTTTTTTATAATTTTGTACATATTATTTTATAAGATATTAAAAAATTTAATTAAAATATCCTACGAAGGGTTCTTGTCAAATGTGTCTCACCAACAGTCGACCTCTTGAAACGCATGCGAATAATAACCCAACCCAAAATCTATCACTGTTTCGAATGCAACTCCACCAATCACCATTGGACCTACTTCATATTCCAGCAATCAACTTTCATGGACAAGTCAAACCACAATTCCACCTAATTAAAACAACAATGATTCATCCCCTTTTCCTTCCATTCCCTTTGACCTCCTCTCTCTCTCATTGGTTACATTTTCTTTTTCTTTTTCTTTTTTTTCCTGCTTCTTCAATCACCACCCGCCACGTGACAAAGGGGTGAGGGTAACCCCAAAAGGGGTCCAAGCATTATTCTAATTAAAAAATAATTTTCCCACGAACCAAACAACTCACCGCCCTGTACCAAAGTATTTCGTTAGTTAACATAATTAATTAAGTAATCTCTGTTATTCAAAGTATATAGAGAGAGAGAATCACCAAGTCTCTCAGAGGGGAGAGAGAGAGAAAACAGAGGACTGGAAGAGAGAGAGAGAAACGTGAGGTCGTTGTTCCAAGGACCCTGGTGTTATCTTCTTTCTCTCCTCACAAATTTCGTCACTTTACTCTGGTTTCTAATTCATATCTACATATATTTTGCTCCTCTCTCTCTCTCTCTTCAAACCCTAGTGTAAACTCCATCTGGGTCTCCAATGGGGAGTTGGGTTTTGTCAGAATGCTGCATTAGACCCATCCTTCAACACTTTCCAAGACCCAGAACTGGATTTATCAACCCTAACCAATCAAAGATTGGTTTTTTACATGTAAACAAGAAATTGACAGATCTAAAGTGCCTTTCAATCTCTTCCCCAACTGGGTTTTATAGAGAGAGAAAGTGGGTTCTCAAGGTGAGTGCTCCATTGAAGGTTGCTTCTGTGGAAGAAGATGAGATTGAATTCGACCCAGGCTCGCCGCCGCCGTTCAAATTATCCGAAATTCGAGCCGCCATTCCGAAGCATTGCTGGGTTAAGAATCCATGGACGTCTATGAGCTATGTTTTCAGAGATGTTTGTGTTGTTTTTGGCTTGGCTGCAATGGCTGCATATTTCAACAACTGGCTTGTTTGGCCTCTTTATTGGGCAGCTCAGGGAACTATGTTTTGGGCTCTCTTTGTTCTTGGTCATGATTGGTAATCACTCAATTTTCTACACCTGGGTCCTAATTTTGATGCAGATAATGTGTTTGTGTTTATGTGTGAATACAATGTTTGTGTTTTGTTGTTTAATTTTGTTATACCCATTTGCTTGCTTTGTTTTAATTTTGATTTGCAGTGGTCATGGAAGCTTTTCAAACAATCCCAAGCTAAATAGTGTGGTTGGTCATCTCCTACATTCTTCAATTCTTGTGCCCTACCATGGATGGTATGTTGCTAATTTATTCTTTTTAATGTAATAGTGGATCTATTTGGTTGTGTTTTTGTTTTTTGTTTTTTATTTTTATATTTTCATTTTCTAGAAAACACAGAGAACTTGTTTGACAAACTGTTTCCAAAAATTATTTTCAGAAATTTTTTCTCAAAACCAACCAGTCTTAGGAAACACCAAAAAAGTTGCTTTCGAATTTTGGAAAACTGTTTTATCACAAAAATGAAAATTATATAAAAGGATGGCTGTTTTCAAACTTTTCCTTGCTTTGTTTCTGAAGACTCGAAAAGCAAAAAGGAACCAAATAGATGCCCAATGTGTTCTAAGATATAATCGTAGTTTCATTATACAATTTACATTAATTTTATTGAGATTGAGAATCTTCTATGTTCAGATAGACTTGAACTTTTTTAATGGAAATTACAGGAGAATTAGCCATAGGACACATCATCAGAATCATGGACATGTTGAGAATGATGAATCATGGCATCCGGTTAGTCTGTCTTGTGTTTTGTTTTGTGGTTATTTCATTGGTTCTTCAATTTTCATTGATCTCCAATTTCCTTTTCTTTTCTTTTCTTTTCTTTTCTTTGTTTTTTCTTTCTCCTCGTTTAGTTGTCTGAGAAAATTTACAATACATTGGATGGCATTACCCGAACTCTGCGGTTCACCATTCCTTTCCCCATGCTGGCATACCCCTTTTACCTGGTAAGTTTGTTTCCTTCCTGTTGATCAAATTCATTATTACAAGTTTCCAAAAAAACAGAAAAAGAAAAAGAAAACAAAAACAGAAAACAGGAAACAGGAAACGAAAGCATTACCAAACAAGGCTGAAGAGAATAGTTGCTAATAGTTCTTGTGTTACAGTGGGGTAGAAGTCCTGGGAAGACTGGCTCGCACTTCCACCCAAACAGTGACTTGTTTGTCCCCAGTGAGAGGAAAGATGTGATCACTTCCACTGTATGTTGGACAACAATGGCTGCTTTGCTTGTGGGATTGTGTTTTGTGATCGGTCCTGTTCAAATGCTCAAACTCTATGGCATTCCATACTGGGTAATTCCCAATTCTTCTACAAAAAATATTTCAATTTGATTGTCTTCGCAATAATAGGCTTCTCAATTGACTTTGTTTCTATGTTAGGGTTTTGTAATGTGGCTGGATCTCGTAACCTACTTGCATCACCATGGCCACGAAGAGAAACTTCCTTGGTATCGTGGAAAGGTATTGATATCTTTGTCATTGGCTTATCTTTTTGTCTAAAATTTTTCATTTTCTTTCATATTTAACTCAAAATTTCACATGAAAATATTGAAATAATTTATTTGAAACTTCCTTGTTGATATGCAGCCTTCTACAAAGCAGAGGAATCTATGAAAGTTATCTTATTACACTAATGTTGTCCAATTCTTCATTTTCTCTCCTACTAAACAAAAATTTTACATGAAAAGATTGAAATATCTTATTGAAACTACCGTGTTGATATGCAGAGGAATCTATGAAAGTTTTCTTATTACTCTAATTTTGTCCAATTCTTTATTTTCTCTCATATTTACTAAAAAATTTACATGAAAAGATGGAAATATTTTATTTGAAACTTCCGTGTTGATATGCAGGCTTCTAAAAGTAGAGGAAATCTATGGCAGTTTTCTAATTACGCTAATTTTGTGCCACAAAAATTCTTCTAAGAAGTTTTCATTTTCTAGGAATGGAACTACCTACGGGGAGGGTTGACCACACTTGATCGTGACTACGGATGTATTAATAACATCCACCATGATATTGGAACTCATGTGATTCACCACCTCTTTCCTCAAATCCCACACTATCACTTAGTGGAAGCAGTGAGTATCTTTCATTACTAAATGAAACTACCTCAAAAATCAATTTTGAGACATGTTTATATTACAAAATTAACATATTTCATTCTAATTTTTTCATTTCATTTCATTTCAATTTTAAACCTTGTAGACTGAGGCAGCTAAGCCAGTGCTCGGGAAGTATTACAGGGAGCCCAAGAAATCAGGTCCTTTACCATTCCACCTAATTGGAAATTTGATAACGAGCATGAAACAAGACCACTATGTTAGTGATGCAGGGGATGTTGTGTACTACCAAACTGACCCTAAGCTTAGTAGCTCTTCTAAATCCGAGTGAAGATATTAATTTAAAACAGAGGAAGGTATTTGAGCTATATTTATACACCAATGGCCTTGCTTAACTTCGACATTATCCGGGCAAGAATTGCAACAAGGATGCAAAAACATATATAGTTACCTGAACTTTTCCATATCGAAGAGGGGAGAGAGAGAGAGAGAGGGAGATACGTGTTACTAGCACAAAGATTATTGCAGATGCCTTGTTTAAAACATCAGCGGAAGATGTATTGAGGGTATTTTCAATATTGAAATAGTGGAATTAATGAAATATGTATAATTTATTCTTCCTGAAGAGGAAATCATCTCTTCAGCAAATCTATCATTTTTTTTTTTGGATGTATTATTTAGATGAAATTCCAAGAAGAATGAAATTGGTGGAAATAGATTGAAGTAAAATGCTCTTTCTTTTTGGTTTTTTGTGTTTGTGTGGGCATGGTGAATTGGTATGGGATTATTAGAGATATGTTGGACCCATGAGGGTTTGTTGTTTAGTGCACATTGAAAAGGAAACAAATACAGTTCATGCTATGGCTTTGTTGGAGAAGTTAGGCTCACCCAAAACACTGTAGTGGCCATTCTGTTTTTTTATTTTTTATTTATTTTAAGTTGAAAGATGATATTATAAGCAAAAGTTTCTTTTAGGTTTTATTTTTATTTTAATAAAATTATTTTAAGAGTTTCTATCACAGTGTTTAGTGTAACTTTTGTTTATATAAGACAAAAATAACTTAAATACGTCGTAGAGTTAAGAAATGGGTGCTATTTGATTATTAAATTTTAACTGGAGAAAAAAGTTGTACCATAACGGAGAAGTTATGAACATAAAAAATGAAATTTGTAATTTAGATTTATTATGGATATGACACAAACCATATCAAATTTAATTTTGAATCATACAATTTATTTTGGGAAAGCAACCAAAAAAAAAAAAAAATTAGGTTTGAGTCTTGTAACAAAACAAATTTAAAATTTTAATTTTATCAATTTAAATCCTAAACTTTGGATTTGTTTTTTCAATCTAAACTATTTACTATTTACCTATTCTTGTTAAATAAAATAAATGGAAAAAAATATATATTTTAGTTATTAAATTTAATGAAAGTGATATTTTAAACATTTTATGGATATTTATATTGAATTTAATGACTAAAATATTATTTCTCTGTTGGTTTTGCTTGACAAAAATAAAAAAATGGTTTCGATTGAAAACAAATAAAAAAATTAAGGTTTAATTGATAAAATTAAAAATTTAAGATTTAGGCTAGGTTTGGCATCTTCTAAAAAAGTTAAAAAGCTAAAAAGTCACTATCTTATTTAAATCATATCATCTTGTTTAAGTCACATCACCTCTATACCACATCATTTCAAACTCAACCTATATTTCATAAAAAATCAAAAAATATACTTATTTAAATCATTCCAAACAATTCCTTATTTCGTTATAAAGCTAAAACTTTGATATTTTTTTTTCACTGTCCCTTCAATTTTGGGGTCATTTTCTGTTTACTTTTCTTCAATTCCAATTTCCTAGTCCACGATAAAGACTAAACACCATCAAAGTTGTCAATAGCTGGCTCCAACGTGTAATATTTTGTTTTGTTCTCATATCATAGTATTTGCTTGCTTGTTTCTGAGTTTGGAAATGAAAACTCATGGTGTTAGATAAATTCAACTTTCATTTGCCTCTCTTAATATTATTTCATGTGTGTGTGAAAGTTGGATTGGCTACATATCAACCCATGTGGTGGACCACCCTGCTCCTCTCTAGGTCTTAGGTTCAAAACCTCTTAGGTGTTATCAACTCTTGTATTGGGTTAGTTCATACGGAGTTCTACTTTGACTTTAAATGGACCCCGCTAGTGGACGGTGAGATTGGTCCCCTAGGGATTAATCGAGGTGAGCGCAAGCTGACCTGAACACTCTGAGTTATCAAAAAAACATGTGGTGGACCACCCCATCCCATCACACCAGTAGCCAAGTAGCCAACTACTAGTTGTTTGTGATTAACAATTTTAAACCAACCAATTTGTGTCCATTTGGAGAGAGAAAGAGAGAGAGTGTGTGTGTGTGAGAGAGAGAGAGAGAGAGAGAGAACTCATCAGTGAAGAACTTCCATTAATCTTCTATAAAAATCAACAACACTGACTTGCATTTTTACTCAAACCTTGATTCCTATTGGTCTTTTACATTATTTTATTTTATTTTGTTTATTTACTTTTTTGGTGCATCATAAAAAAATAGAGAGGGGCGACTAGCGAGAATGGGTTTAGAAGAGCAAGAAGAGACAATCGCCGCCCTAAATGATCAGTTCGATAAATCTTACAAAATAAACGGCTCATATGACAAAGATGGAACCGGGGGTTGCAGTGGTTTTGGGTCAACAATGAAAGCTTGTTCTTCATTAACTGGGCCTTGTATGGGTTGGGTGATTGGGCCTTAATCATTATTGTAGGCTTCATTCTGGGCTATTTCCAGCCAGTGGGTTTGGGTTTGAAAATAGCCCATATGTTTTCACCTATTTGATCCATTACCATTAAACATTAGGGATAATTATCTGCAGGTAGTGTTGACTGCACCTATTTTCTCATAAAATTTGAGTACATTTTTTTTTTCTTACGTAATTGTCTATCGTTTTCATAATGATTTTTTTTTTTTTGGAAACATTTTAGAAATAATTCATGTTTGTTAATGTATCCTTTAGAACTAATAATGATACTGATAAATTTATTAAAATCATAAATTATTGCAGCATTTTGACTTTTATTTATGAGTCTTGGTTTATGATATGTGAAATGTAAATAGTTGAAATTGTATATTTTAAAAAATATTTTTAAATGATAAATCTATCACTAAAAATTGAATAAACTTTTTAATAAATAAGCTTGATTTACACCAACTCTAATTGTATAACATTACCCTATTTGAATAATTGAAATGAAGAGATGAAATGATAATAGAAAAATTTACTTATAAATCCTATTTTCAGGAATGGTGATCTATTTAGTCTTAAGAATTTTTTATAAACCAATTAGTCCCATTAATTTTGGAAAGGTAAATTTAATATATTATTTTAAAATTAGATTTATGTTTATACCTTTATTGCTATTATGTTTCTTATCTTTTTTTTTCTTTTGTGCTGGGAAGATAAGGTGCACAATATATACATTTGGGATGATTTTTTATATAAAAATCTTTTTTATTTGAAAAACATTTCAAAAGGAATACAAAAATGACTTAAAATATGAGATTCTTCAAACATTCTAAAAGGATGTGAGATTTTTTAAACATTTCTAAAGAAATACAAAAACTACTAGGTAAGTTTTGGCCAAATATATAATTTCAAACTGTAATACTCCGATGTAACACTCCAATATAACACTCAAAAAAATCTTTATGTAAAATATATAATTTCAAACTGTAATACTCCGATGTAACACTCCAATATAACACTCAAAAAAATCTTTATGTAATACCCTAATGTAATAAATAAAAAAAACTCCTTACTGTTTTTCCCAGGCATAACACTTGAAAAAAACATCTTAATGTAACATTCTAATGTAGTACTTTAAAAAAATTTCTTATTGTAACACTCTAATGTAACACACAAAAAAATTCTTTAGTGTATTTTTTTCAAATGTATCACTCTAATATAACACTTCAAAAAAATTTCTTAATGTAATACACAAAAAAATTTCTAAGTGTATTTTTTCCAAATATAACACTCTAATATAATAATATAAAAAAACTCGTTAATACAACACTCTAATGTAACAGACACAAAACTCTTTAGTGTAACACTCTAATGTAACACACAAAAATATTTCTTAGTGTATTTTTCTCAAATGTAACACTCTAATATAATAAAATAAAAAACTTCTTAGTGTAACATTGTAATGTAACACATGAAAACTATTTAATATAACATTCTAATGTAACACAAAAAAAAAATTTCTTAGTATACTTTTTTCAAACATAACACTTTAAAAAAAAAATTTAGTGTAACACTTTAATGTAACATAAAAAAATTCTTTGGTGTAATTTTTCCAAACGTAACGCTTCAATCGAACACACTAAAAAAAAAATTCTTAGTGTACTTTTTCTAAACGTAACACTCCAATGTAACACTAAAAAAAAAAAAGAATGTCAAATTCTTCAAACTATTTTAAAAGGAGTACAAATATTCCTCTGTAAGTTTTGAGCAAATGTATAATTTTAAATTGTGAGGGTTACGTTTGCAAAAAGTACATGTGTTACATTGGAGCATTTTACATAGGAATGTTACGTTTGAGGTTATACTGATTGAAGCGTTACGTTTGAGAAAAGTACATCAAAAAGTTTTTTTTAAATGTTATGTTGTTACGTTTGGAAAAAATATATCAATGAATTTTTTAGTGTGTTACATTAAAGTGTTACGTTATTAAAGTATTATATTAGAGTATTAGGTTGTTATTCGTAATGTGAGATTTGTTTTAGAATGAGAGAAAATTCAAAATTTCTATAGTGAAAATTGCCCAAATGTATAATTTTACATTTTAAGAATCTACTTTTATTCTTAAAAAATTAAACTCATATATATAAGTGACTACGTTTTTGTAATTTATACTTTAATAAGACTTTTGGGTTCATAAAAAAATAAAATAAAATAAAGACTAAACAATTTATAAGATTACATTTTAAAATTTATTAGTGTTTCACGCATAAAAATATCAAATAGAATCATTGAAATGGAATCGTGTTAGATCAAATATTCCTACAGGCCCAAACAACATTATAGACTAATTTAAATAGGGTTAATTATATTAATAGTCTCTATAGTTTGGGACTTATGACATTTTAGTCTCTAATTTTTCAATTATGACACATTTGACCATGAATTTTGAATCTTGTTCCAAATAAGGACAATTGAAAATATTATTAGATTTTTTAAGGGTAAAATTGTCAATTTGATAAAATATAAACTAATTTGACAAAAATATATGTCAAAAAAATATTTTTAATTTTTTAAAAATTATTTTTATCCACCAATGATAAAATTATGTAAAATTAATAAAAATTACATGATTAATTTTTTAAAATTAATTTTACATGATCATCATCTAAACACATAATAAAAATTAATTTGGTAAAAAAAAAATAAATGTCTAAAAGATTTATCAATTTTACATAATTTTATTTTTAGTAAGTAGAAATAATTTTTAAAAATTCAAAAATATTTGTTTGACATTTATTTTTGTCAAATTAGTTTATATTTTATCAAATTGACAATTTTACCCTTGAAAAATCTAATTATATATTCAATTGTCCTTATTTGGAACAAGATTCAAAATTCAGGGTCAAATACGTCACAATTGAAAAGTCAGGGACTAAAATGACACAAATCCAAAACTATAGGGGAC